CGCCTACGAGTGGGACCGGGAGAAGAAGGCCTGGTTCCCCAAGGTGGGTGCGGGGCCGCCGTGAGCCGCGGGCAGCGCCGTCCCCGTGCGCGGGGAAGGGCGAGGCGAGAGGGGAGAGCGGTTGGTGTTCCCTTGGCCGCGTTCGCCGCGTCGCTGTGCGCTGAGAGGTGTCAGCAGCGCCGAAACACTCGTTCCTGCGTGAGGAGTCTCGTCTGTGCCCGCTGCTGTCTGAGCTTTGGTTGTGAAGAGCTCCGGGTTGGCTCTTCTTCTCGGCTGTGGATCTGTACAGTTGTTTGGGCCTGGCGTGGAGTCGCAGTCCACAAATGTGGATCTGAAGGACTGGATCTGCTCTGGATGTGTTTATGTCTCTTTGTCGCAGCAGCTGTGGTTGAGCCTTGTGTGAAGAGGTGCAATAGTCTGTTTAAAGGTCTAGGTGAAAATGGAATTAAATGTCCTCCTTCTCTTGTTTCATTATCTGAAAATGCCCTGCAAAGATACCTTGTTCCATCTCCTTTGATCTTGGAAGCACAGTGGGAAATTAAGTGCATTTGTATGAGAGGCAATTTCACAGCATGGAAACGTTAGCTTTTCATCCTGCTTTTTTAAAAAAAATTAAACATTTAAGGTATAAAATATGACCTGGCTGTAACAACGTGGTTCTACAAGGGGAGAGGGAACATGGATTTAATGTGTTGAGCCGATCTGCTCTGCAAGTGGAAGAGTAGTTTTGTTCCCATTCACCGCTGTGAACAAGGGCAATTACTTAATTTAGTGTTAAGGCATTTTAAGGCAAACACTTGATGGATGTAATGTGCCAGTTCTAGTCTGACTGTGAATTCATTGCAGCTCAGAGAATCTGAGTGAGAATGAAGCCTGTAGTGCCAAGTTTCTGTGTGTAAACCCAGGGAGGTGTCTGTGGCAGATGGTTTATGGAGGGGTAAAAGCATGTGAAAAATCCAGACTCTGCTTGAAGCACTGGAGAACTGAGTTATCCCTGTACAGTGCTATATCCAGTAAGCACAGTAAAAGGAATCTTCCTTTTTTTTTTTTTTTTTACCCCCTTCCTTCCCTGCTTTCTCACCTCTTTTTTTACATTATATGTCCTTAGTAGCATTGGTTTTTCCGAAGTGCCTTTCTTATCTCTTCTCTCTTGGAGAGGAAATAACATGGAGAGTTGGACAGGTTAATAGGAAGAGCAAAGCCCATCAGTAAATAGGATGTGTAGTAGAAGTTGGTGACCTATCAGTGACCTGTCAGTGACCTGTGGTCCTTCACAAAGATTCCTTGCTGAGCTAGATATCACAGTGTCTCAGGTTAATTCTTTTTGCTGATGATTATTCATCTGAATGTTGTATCAAAATAAATTTAACAGGCTGCTGGAGGCAGAAGTTGGAGTTCTTTCTCCATGAGCAGAAATACAATTCTTAATGTCTGTTCTGTGACAAAAGATGAAAATGTTCTGACTGGTGTAAGTAGTCATCCTCCAGAGCCTGGATTGCCTTAGGAATGGAGTCTCTGCTGAGTTTCCACTAAAGCATATTTCAAAGCAGTGCATAAAGTGAGTGATATTAAGTGTCAACATTCCCCAGGAAGATTTGGAGCCAGTCAAATATTTAATAGAAGCAAATGTAATCTCTTTTATTATTTAGTGATTTTTCTTTCCGTGGTATTGTATTGATGAATGTCAACTGTTAGAGACCTTCACAGACACAGCACAGAGTGGAGTGCTGAATTCATGACTTGCTATGAGAATACAGATGTTGGCTGTCATCTGCAAGCACAGGGTATCTGTTCTTCATTTGGTTAATCTATTCCTTTCCATGTCAGTGGGACCAGCAGTTAATGACATGCTCACATGTCCTGTAGTATTGTATTTCTTTTCCTATAAGCTTAATTGCCCCAACCAAACTGTCCAACGGTGTGGATAGAACTGATCTCTCTGTGATGTTCTCCACCAGAACAGGCAACAAATTCTGTGGGTGCTTGTTTGTCACACAGGCATGGTATGACATAAGCTCCAATAAAAGCCTTTGTACTTGTATCAGTTCCTTTGTGCTTGGGAAAATGCACTTTAAAGTGATGTGGTTGTAATGGTTATATGGTAGGATGATAAGCATATTGTGCAAAACCCATCTTTGTTATTGGCTGGCAAGATTTGACAGTCCATGGTAGGTGATTTGCTAAGAATAAACTGAGCTTTACAGGAGGATGCAATTCCCCCTGAAGCTGAAAAATAATCCTGCTGCAGGAACGTGGCTACTTGTTGCAGGTTCAATCACTAATTTATCAGTACGTTTTCTGATGAAGATGAATAATCCTGTTCACCAGAAGGTATAAAAGCTTCTTAATTCCCTGGGTCTCATCAACTGTGACAGGAAGGATTTGCTAAGATTGCTAGTGTCAAGCATAATGAACTTGGTTAGAACACAGAGTCTCTTCTCCACTAAATGTGGTTATTCTTTCTTTCTCTTGTCATTGTGTCGTGTCATGTCTGTTAGAGCAGCTGCTTACATTCCTGATCGAGGTGTGTTGCAAATCTTGTTTAGCCTGGGAGCTATTTCTTGCTGAACTTTATATATGTATATGGAGCTCCATGGCATCTTACATTATTCCTGACAAGCCTGTTGCTGTCAGTTCTGCACTTTTGATTTGTCATAATAAAAGTTTAGAGTTGAAAGATCAATCTCCAAATCACTGTGGAAGGCAGGAGATTGCATTTTTATCACTGACACTTACAATTGCTCTCTTACAATAGCTTAATGACATTTAAGTTTTGTTCCCTTCTGAATACAGATGAAGCAAGTGCAGCACAGGTCAGAGGCAGATAACATTTTCAGAGGTTTGGAATAAAATCCTTTCAGGGTGGGTAACTTCAGAAAGTGCTTCATAATGCAGGGCTGCTGGCAAAAGCAGTTGAGATGTTACCTCTGCATGTAATTGCTAGTGGCTGACTATAAAATTTACCTGGCTGGAAGCACTGGTTGTAATTTGTAGGATCTTTTTACTTTGACATAGGCATTAGCCAATCTTAGGTTTTATCCTAACATAGTCTTTCTCTGGAAAAGAGCAAATTAATTATTTATCTGTTAGTAGGCTAGAAAGTGAAGTGTATGGCTTTAGAAAGAGTGCTCTGTCTAACTGCAATATTTATTGTCTGTCAGCACAAATATGTGTCATCTCTGGAAATGATTCCCTGAAAAGGCAGATGCCTGCAAATGTCAGTCATTTATCATCTGTGGATAAGTTGTTGGCTTACTGTCAGTGTCACTTTATCTCTTTGCCATGGCCAGGAGCACTTGATTTCTGTCCTTAAGGCAAATCCAGTTTGTGTGGAAAGCAGAAAGCACTGAAAACAGAACTCGTGAAATGTTTGTGTAAAAACTTCATGTGCTCTATGGAATTAGTACGTTGGTCTAGTTCAGGTAATACCCAAACTGGTGGTTCTTGTTGTGTTTATGGCTTTGCAAAGATGATTTTAAAGTAGTTTTGAAATACTGTTATTTTCTATGATGGGAAAATTACAATCACCTAATAAACGCAAACCTGAGTTTGTAGTTCTTTGAAATTTCAGATTAATTTTCCTAATTTCTTTCCAGATAACAGAAGATTTCCTGGCAACCTATCATGCCAACTATGGCTTCCACGGAGATGAGACAGACACTTCATCTGCTTCTGGCACAGCCACTGAAAGTAAGCAACCAGTGAGTTCTAAGACACCAGCAACACAACCATCAGCAAATGAGAAAGGACCAAAACAAACAGATCCAAAACAGAAGTCTGAAAAAAGGAAGCTAGAGCCAGGTGAGTGACAAAGCCTTTCTCCCTGTGTAGGCTGTGACCTGTATAGTGCTGAATGAAATCTGGCAATTGTTTGCTGTTATCAGGTACAGCAAAGGTATGGGTTGTGCTGAAAACTTCCAGAATGGTTTTAAAATGGTGTGGGTCTTCATAGGTGTCCTCTGAAATCTGAACACAGGGTGGGGAAAGAGCAAGTGAAGGGCATGTTCAGAGCTTCTCTGTGAGCAAGCAAAACTTAGAAACCTCACAGAATATAAACATTAGTGCATGCTCTCATGTTTAATACATTGCCATAACTGAACTAAACCTCTTGTGTTTAGGGTGGTTTCATGTTGAAGAAGACAGAAACACAAATGTTTATGTGACAGGTAAGTAATAGTGTTTTATTTGTGTAATTTGAGCTGAAGTTAGTAAAAGAGACTCATATGTGTCTCTAATATTCTCTATTCAGTCTGCCACTTGCAAGCTACTTAATGTTGTGTTCCTGACTGCATAATGTCTTTGTGACCTTTAAATGGCAGAAGTGGCAGAGCAGTAGCAGGGACATGCTCTATGCTTTCATCTGTTTTATGTAGTGTTTTCTGAGCTGTGGCAACCAAGACACTATTTTATTTTCTTTTTTAAGCAAAACAAGTTCTGCAAGCTTTTAAGGAATAGGATAATGAGTAATTTGTAATAAGATGGTGCATCGACTATACCCATCACTTAATCTTTAACTTTTGTTTGATTTAATAAATATATGATTAAATTATTAGGAAAGAAGGAGGAAGCAGTAAGAAAGAAAAGCTGGGAATAGAATGAGCAAGTAGTGGGGAAGCTCAGATGAAATTATCTGTGTACTTATTATGGTGTTTCTCTCCCTGGTTTGGATGGTGGGTTGCTGTCTAGATATCTGAAGGTAGATTTGGTGGTTCTGAGTTCTGAATTCTCACCTGAATTCTCAAAAATCTTCAGGCCAAACTAGCACAGAACATCCACGTAATTTTCACATTCATTTCGGTGTTTTTCTTGTCCTCGGTTCAAAGTTCAGGCCTTAAAGACTCTACATATCACCAGTTGCTTGTTTTGTTGATTTTTTTTGGGTGGAGAAAATAGTTGTCTGTTTATAGGCTTGGGGTTTTTTTGTCTCTGGTCCCCAGTGGTACAGTGGAAATTAAAGCTTGGGCAGGAGAGTTACATTGGCAGAGGCAACGTTGGTATCATGTGTAACAGTAAAGCTCTAGATCTGCCTGTTGGAGAGCACAAAGATGTTTATGTGTGTTACACCTATTAAAAAGTACAAGGATTTTCAAAACACTGGTATGAACTAATGCTTGTAAGGTAACCTCAAAAATATCAATCCCAAGTGATATTTCCTGTAAAATAGTGTCCTTAAGTTTGATATCTTTAAAGAAACACTGGGGGAGGGTTTTTTCTAATATGTTTCTTTTTTTTTAAGCATATCATACTCAAGTCTTCTGTTTGAATTTATTTTGCAGGTTTACCCCCAGACATCACAAAAGATGAATTTGTGCAAGTCATGTCGAAATGTGGTATCATTATGAGAGATCCTCAGACAGAAGAGCACAAAATCAAACTGTACAAGGATAAGGAAGGAAATCTTAAAGGAGATGGTCTCTGTTGCTATCTGAAGGTCAGTGGTGCTCTGAAGTGCTGTTGTCCTTCCCATTGAAGGCACCTGTGGCCACTGTTTCAGAATCATATTCAGAGTATTGTTGAAATACCTAGAGTATAACTTAGAATGTAGGTATCTGTTGTAAAGATTAACTCCAGGGGTGCCCATTTACCTCCTTGTGCACCTCATTCGTTTCCTCTTACCCAGCCCCCTGAAAATGATAATCCCTGCTGTCTCTGCATGTCTCTCTGCATGTTCCTGTCTCGGGTGCTTGGGATTATGGGGTCAAATGGGAGGCTCTTCCCCTTCTGCTTTGAAAATGGCTACTGTGTAACCCAGAATACAAAAATAATGAGCCTGGAAGGAACACAGTGCTGAATTTACAGCTTGGAGCTGAGAACTGTTTGGGTTCAGAACTGTGTTGCATTCTTTATTCAGCTATGAAAGTTTAGGCTGCAGTACTGTTTCCTTCATGTGTTTCACTCGTGAATTGTTTGAAAGTTGGTGCTTGCAAGTGCAGCCTGCTTTAATTCTGCAAGAAGCACCACAAAAATTCAATGTTTTGTAGTCTGTGCTAGTTTTGTAATTGTACTAGTTAGGCTGTTGAGTGCACAACCATAAAGACAGTCTCCACTTCAAAGGACTTTTAAGAGAACATTAAAAATTACTTAAGAGGCTCTACATCTGCTGTTCTTGGAGAAATGATACAAGCTTTATAGGAAATCAGTTCCCTGAAACCTTATTATTCTTGCTTTTAAGTTCATCACTTACTGAAACGTTCCAGTTTGGTTTCTGTAGCATGTTTCAATGAAATGTGTGCAGTTGCTTTCAGGAGCATTAAAACTGAGATGAAGAAATACTGGGTTTGATCAAGTAAGCATTGCCAGCTGTGTGTCAGGAGGCTTGGAAAAGATGTGGCATTATGGTTTTCAGTGACAGGGACTTCATTCTTAGCACATTATACTTAATGACATGCTATTAGACTAATTGGACTGTGCCATGTGCTATAAACCTTGTGCTGTGTTTTATCTTCAAACAGAGAGAATCAGTTCAACTGGCATTGAGGCTTCTGGATGAGGCAGAAATCCGAGGCTATAAATTGCACGTGGAAGTTGCCAAGTTCCAACTGAAGGGGGAGTATGATGCCAGCAAAAAGAAGAAGAAATGTAAAGACTACAAGAAGAAGTTGTCTCAACAGCAGAAGTTTGTATTTCTTATTTCACTAAAACATTGCTTGAATTCTGAGTGCTGTTAGTAAAGTGCTGCTTTGTTTCAAGTGCAGTGCTAAGTTATAGAAAAGTTAAAGTCTTATCTGACAGTGAAATAGCTTAACTAATGCACATTTGAAGGGGAGGAACTCCTAAATTAAACGTTGACTTAATGAACTTCTTTGTGATTGGACTTTAGAATAGTACATAGGGAGCCATGGTCCTTCCTGATGTAGAAGAAAACGTTACAGCTCTGGGGAGATAAAAGACATTTTTTCTTAGTGTGGAAGTCCTGTCAGGATACCTGGGCTTATTGTTAAGGCTCATAGCACTCTGGCTGCACACTTACTGTTTGCACCACACTGTGCTAGCTGCAAAGGGCAGGAGATGTTGCTGTTGGCTGCCATAACAGCAGATATTAAAGTATCTTTGGAGAGTTCCCCTAGACATCTCTCTTGGGTATGAAAATACACTGGTTTTTGAATTGTACCGTGATTAATTGCTTTTGTCACTTAAAAATTGTTTTTCTGCCTTTTGGAACCAAGAAGAAGCAGATTGAAGAAGAAAGAAGTTTGAATGTGTAGGACTTTTGATGCTATAATGACAACACCTTTCCACTGAACATTGTGAATAGTGACACAGAGACATTTTGCCATAGTTAAAGGCTATTTGGTGTCTTACCAATTAAACCCAGAAGTAGCTTGAAATATATCTGCCCCAAAGATACATTGCCAGTTGTTGCTGTAAGAAGTCTGTGGAGAGAGAAGTATGAAAATAATGAAAGTGCACTGTACAGTAATTTGTGTGGATAAAAGGACTGTGTTCCTTTTGAGTCAAACAGCATAATTTACTGGTCAAACTACTCTCATAGGAAATCCAAGTTTTCTTCAGCTAAAGTAGCAGGTACCAGAAAGAACTTAAGATTTCCCCTTGCTCCCCCAAGATACGGTTTTGTAAAAAGGTGTAAGTGAATATGTAATATTTTGCAATAGGATGTGAATTAGGTGTTTCTGGGAGAAGTAACATTTGCTGTGAGAAAGCAGAATCCTAGGACAGATACCCCGAGTTACATGGCTGGTTTGTGGCAGTGACTCTGTACACTGTGGAACAAAATACATCTCGCAGCAATGCCTGTATAAGGGCCAAGGTGTTCTTCAATGTTTGTTAAAATAAAAGCAGTTACACTCTTCTCTTTGGTAAAATTTATCTCCTTTTTTAGCAAATAAGTGAGGAAAAAAAGGTGAAGTATCAACAGTTTTATTGTACTTGGCAGCAGGTGGTTCCTGTATCTGAGCTAATACTAGGAGGGAACTAAAACTTCAAAATTATTTTCTCAGTGTTTAAAAAATGCTTTGATTTTTTAAAATAGTTTATATTTCCTCTATGAGCTTTTACAGACCTTAACTGCTTTGTAGAGTGGTAGACCTGGGTAATGATTGCATATTTCAGAAGAGTAACTGAACTGTTTGTGTCAAAATACTTGTTTGAGTTGATGTATTGCAAGGAATGCCAAATTAATGATTTTTTTTCAACAAATACTTGTAGAAACTGAAGAGAGGCGCAACAATATCTTCTTACTGTTGCTTCATTTCATTAGACAGCTGGATTGGAGGCCGGAGAAGAAAGATGGTGCAGCGCGAATGCGACACGAACGCATCATTATTATCAGGAACATGTTTCACCCAAAGGACTTTGAGGTAGGAAGATGCAGTTTGCTGCTGTAGATTGTGTTGTTAAAAGCTGACATTGTCTGAACTTGGTGCCATACAAATTTTAGCTAAATTCTAAGCAGATGAGAACAAAGTTAGAGTTCATTCATCTCCCCAAAATGCAAGAAAAAGCTGTTGGTAAGAAGGTATTTTTCAAAGCAGCCTTTTTTTACTGTGTATCCTGACAATAGTCCTTTTTGGGATGGAAAGAGGAAACAATCCCATGCAGCACTATAGTCTGGGAACAGAGTGGCTGGAGAGCACCAGGCAGAAAGGGACCTGGGAGTTTGGAGAGACAGAGAGCTGAACATGAACCAGCAGTGTGCTCAGGTGGCCAAGAAGGCCAATGGCATCCTGGCCTGGATCAGGAACAGCATGGTCAGCAGGACCAGGGAGGTGATTCTGCCCCTGGACTTGGCACTGGTGAGGCCACACCTTGAATAGTGTGTGCAGTTCTGGGCCCTTCAGTTCAGGAGGGATATTGAGGTGCTGGAGCAGGTCCAGAGAAGAGCAACGAGGCTGGTAAAGGGACTGGAGCACAAGTGCCATGAGGAGAGGCTGAGGGAGCTGGGGGTGTTCAGCCTGGAGAAGAGGAGGCTCAGGGGAGACCTTATTGTCCTGTACAACTCCCTAGGTGGGGGTTCGTCTCTTCGCTCAGCAGTAGGACAAGAGGGCACAGACTCAAGCTCTGCCAGGAGAGGTTTAGGTTGGATATTAGGAAGAGATTTTTTACAGAGAGAGTGATCAGGCATTGGAATGTGCTGTCCAGGGAGGTGGTGGATTCACCATCCCTGGAGGTTTTCAGGATGAGACTGGATGTGGCACTTAATGCCATGGTCTGGTAGCCACGGTAGGGTTGGACTTGATGGTCTTGGAGGTCTTTTCCAACCCTGCTGATTCTGTGATTCTGTGATTCAATAGCTCTGTTAGAATGAAGAAACCATTGCAAACCAGCTTTATTAATAAGTAGCACTTATTAAATTCAAACAAGAGCTCTCTGCCAGCTCCCAAGTGGCTTTGAAAATGCAGCTTAATAGCACTTCATTTCTGAACTTTCAGGAGGTTGGCAGGTGCCTTCCATTGGTGTTTAAGCAAAACTAAAGCTGAGAGGAGTGTTCCTGTTTAATTGCAGCTGTGTGATTGCTTTGCAGGAGGATCCCTTAGTGCTAAATGAGATCAGAGAAGATCTGCGGACGGAGTGTGAAAAGTTTGGTCAAGTGAAGAAGGTTCTCATATTTGATGTAGGTATTTTGTACATGTTGTGTTGGCAGAATCGATGCAGTGTGCAAAGGTGCAAGACATTTAGGCTGCTTTAAACACGAGTGGAGCATTTCTTTGGTTTTGTGTGTTCAGTTCACGGAAACTTGGCTTAATGTCCCAGTACTTTGTTTTGGTACTTAACGTCTAAGCACCTCTCTGCTTCACCCGGTGTGAATGCAAACTAACTCTTCGCAGTACATGTTACCAGTTTGAACAGTGTATAAGTATGTTTATTTGTAGCTAAGCCAGCTGACCTTTTTTTATTTTCTGTGTCCAAAAATTGTGTTCTCTGTGCCAGTAGAGCACAGTGTGTCAACTTGGACACCAAATTTTTCAAACACAGTTACACAGACCAGAATGGAACTATATCCTGATTGGTTTTGTAACACAATCTAAGATACTTTGGAATAAATACACTAGTTAGATTACTGTTAAATGAAATTTGTTTCTGCTTACAGCGACACCCTGATGGAGTGGCTTCTGTGTCATTTAAAGAAGCAACTGAAGCTGATCTGTGCAAGCAAACTCTACATGGAAGGTGGTTTGGTGGCCGTCAGCTCAGTGCTGAAACATGGGATGGTGTCACAGATTATCAGGTAGCCTTTAATGATCCTGTTTTATCAAATGGTTCTTCCAAACCATAAACCTCTTTTCATTCAAGAGGTGTTTGGCATTCCCATCCCCTTCCCACCCCTGTACTATCTTCCTTCTTCTCAAAATCTGCTAGAATATCTCCCAAAAATCATTTAATTATTCAGCTTAGCAAAGAATTAAAGGACCTTTTTGATGTTAAAAGTTGTGTGTTGATGTCAGGTTAGACGATTAGCCACTGGATGTACAGATCCTTAGTTCAGTCAGCAGAGAACTCCTGAGATAATTCTGTCATATAAACACTTGTATAATTTTCTCTGTGTAAATACTCACTGTGACTAGTATGACCTTGTAATGATGTGTATAAACATCTCTTTAATAGGTGGAGGAGACTGCAAGGGAAAGGGAGGAAAGGCTGAAGGTGTGGGGGTCGTTTTTAGAGGATCCTGATGCGAAGGAGCAGCAAACTACATCGGATTCAGATTCCCCATCGAGTAGCGTTAAAGTGCCCGAAGGCAAACAACAGCAACCGGCTGAGGTCAAAGACACCCCGAAGGAGGAGGCAAATGAAGCTCCTAAGAGGGAGAATAATGGTGAGGGCATTAATGAAGATGGAGCTCCATCCACAGACAGCAGCCTGGCAGGCAGCGATGGGGAAGCTGATACATAACACCTTTAACGCTTTAGGGAAGCATGGGTTGATTTTTAGGGTGATGTTTGAGTTGATCCCTTTCTTCAGGGTGACTGCAGACAATATTCATATGAATATAGGCATATTAGAGTGTCATCAACTGTGTGCTTTGAAGTTTTCATTAAAAGCAGTATTTAATGAGGTTCTAAGAGTTTGTATTAATTGGCTGTTCAGGTAAAGTAACTCAAGTTGCCAAGAATGCAGTAAAACTCATCAGGCTTCTTCTGTTCTAACTATGCTTGTCAGTGTTTCATTGTGTGAGTGTGAAATATGTTCCAACCCTTCAGTTTCTGTAACTCTGTGTAACTTAAGTAATGCAAAGCTATTACAAGATTTGTGGATTTTACTGTTAATTTTCCTGTACCCTTTGGAACTCAGTATTTCATCCTTAAAAATGATTTGTGTCCTGAATACTTTTGGATCATTTTATGGAACAGATGCTGTGATACATACAGGGTGAATGTGTTGGATGTGTTGCTATGCATTAGGTAGCAAATGGTAAGCGTAGTACCAAGTCACAGACTTAAAGGAAGTGGAAAACAGACAACATTGCCATAGCCAACCTAAGGCAAACTGAGTGAAGAGAGATTAGTAAATCACAGCATTCAGTACATTATTTTTTTTCTTCCCCTATTTAAATCTTCCGTTGATGTTAGATAGAGGCTGGAATTATGTCAAGGAGACCAGAAATGCATGACACACATTCTAGGCCAAAATGAAATAAGACTGATCCTAAACTCTCATGGTCTGTATGCAGTAGGTATCAAAATAGACTTTTTTTTGGTGGTGGTTTTATTAGTTTTTGCTTTAATACTTGAGGTTTTTGTTTAGCTTTGTTAGCATGGTAAGTGTGAGTTCCCCTCAGTGTTTTAGTTTAGCTCTGCCTGCTCATCCAAGTGGGGAGGATCTTCCATAGTTCATAAAATTTAAAGGCTTTTGGCAGCTCGAACTACAGTTTGTTGTGCAAAAGTTAGAAAACTTGAAAAATATGCTTTCAAATAATACTCCTATGTGGAAAAAGCAAATCTTTAGATCCTCTTAGAAATCCTCTTAGAAATATTTCCCAAAGCAAGGACTTAGAAGACATTCTAACTTTAGATACTTTATTAAGTGATAGGCTTTCAGAAATAACCAGGGGAGCTGTTTTGGGCATAGTTGTTCTTAATTTAGAATGCCATCATTTTGATAAGTAAGGATAGAAGAATCTGAATTTGGGCACTAAACCATTGAAATATTGGTGCTAGATTCATAGCACACTGTTCATATGGATGGTTACCAGTACACATTTGTAAGGAGGATCTTTTAGAATTTTTAAAATTCATATTGGATTGCAAGAAACTATAGATGCTAATTGCTGTATTTCCATCATGAAGTGTTCAGAATACTCTGAAAATTGGTCTCTTCAAACTTTGTGCCCTGAGATTACCATATATTTTTTCCAGAAGTCTGTAAGGTTATTCAAGTTGGTTTTATTGTTATTTTTAAAAGTAGATAATCAACATATATGGGTAGCTATGCCAACCAGAGCGTCCAAGTCAACACTTGCTACTGTGGTTATGAATTGTACCTTTTTGTGACTAAATCCCTGATTTTACAGCAGAGCTGATTATTTGAATTCAGAGGTTAAAAGTCTGAGGCATGACAAATTTCCACTTGAGAGTTGCATTACAAAGAAGAGCTGTAGCTCTTGCCAGCTGAGAAAGGCCATTTTCTCATCTCTCCAAGTGTGGGTTGTTTGTTTCAGCAAAGCAGGTGTTTGTCCAGTTCAGGGAATCTGAAACTCTGCCTGCTCAGTAGCTGCACTCAGTGGCATATTCAGATACATCTCTGGGTTGTGTTGTCTCTGCCTTAGTTATTTTTATGGGTGATAAGCACCACAGACCTTTGAGAGCTGGAAGTGTTTGCATAGGAGGAGTGTAATTTAGTGTGGCTGGTGTTGCTTTCAGTGCTCCTTTTTTCCTTCCAGCTTCTAGGCTCCAGAGCTCTGAGACTTGTGTTTTGTTAGCCCCAGTCACATAATACTCTACACAGCTAAATCACCTGTTTTACAGTGGAATTGCAGCTGACACAGGAAAACTTGTGGACAAATGTATAAAACTTGTACAGTTCTATGAAGCCTTATTATGGTATCAGGTAGGGAAAAAATAAGGTTAGTGTTAGTGTTTGAAGAAAGACTTTGAGAAATAAAGAATCATTGTGCAGTAACTTTCCTCTCTCCAACTGATGTACCAGTTTGATTGGCTTGCTGCAGGAGTCAAATGTGATGTTAGTCCCTTCACCTTTTCCTCTAGACTTCACACTGAAGTAGAGCACCAACAAAGACTGAGACCAAATGCTTTACTGGCTTTCCTATTAACTAGGATTTTACAAAAATAAAAGCTGTTTTTCCATGCAAATATGTTGTTCTGAAGTGTGGCATTACACTCCAAGTGGTATTTTCCTTTTGTCTACCTCTGTTACTCCCAGTAAAATGTAAAAGTATATTTTTATAAACTAGTCATTGAGTTACTGAGGCATTTAGTAGTCTGTGGAGAGGTTAGTGCAGCTGTGACTTTCTTTTCAGCACATTTGTCAATTGAGACTGAATTATTTTGACATTTTCCTTTTGGAAATGATGCAAACTTTTATAAATTGAGCTGAACAGAAATAACAATTTTCACAAAACTTAAGATTACTGTTTTGGAGTATGAAAACCTTGTAGTAGAGAGCAGTAATGTTTAATACCAAATTTTAACCAATCTCAAGCTGAACAAGCTGAGTTGATTTTTAAACTTCCATTTGTTTTCTGACTGAGCAGCATCATAAATAATGTGGTAAGAAGGTAAAACCCCAATGGAATTTTCATTGTGTTTTAATTTAAAGTGCTTTCTAATGGTTTGTCTTGCCCATTAGAAGTGACGAAACCAAACCTTTTTGCTCAGGTTCTAATGTTCTTTAGGTCCCACTGCAGTGCAGTATGTCCTGAGTGTTCCCCCATCCCCTGGCTTTGGTGAGAGGCTCATTGGAAGAGAATGTCTCCTTCCCTCCACTTGTGATGAGAACAATAACTAGCAGCAGGTTGAAACCTAATAATTGCTGAATTTTGAGCTAGAGAAATAGTTGTCTCTGGTAATTAACAGTGTGACAACATGGCTGTGAAGCCACTTACATACAACAGCAGGGACAGAGCATTGACTGATCCTTCAACATAACTCAGCAGAGAGAATCACTTCCTTAACCGTGGCATCCAAAACCATTGCTTAGCTTCAGGATATGTTGGTAGTTGGTTACAACCAGATGCTGTTCAGTGTTTTGCTGGCAAGTTACAGGTGTTCCCCAGAGGTGACATGGCTTGAGGAGATTGGCCAAGGGAGACACCTGGGAACAAAATGCTCCAAAAGAAAAGACTTTCTCGAAGGTTTTCTCCTTGTTTTTTCTTTTTTTTTTTTTTTGGCAGGTTCTTGAATGTGCATACACAGCTGTAAAGAGAGAATTAGTTTCATTTTGCATCAAAATGTTTATCTGTTTCTCCTGCTGACGTTTTTTAATTACCTTTTTAATTGAATTCAGTCCCTCGTACAACTTACATTTTGTATAAGGATTGCAATTCACTTAAAATCATGAGTATGTTAAATGCAGTGCATTTTAGCTAAAACATGTCCTAGACATTGTTCAGTTAAGGTTAATCTATTTACAATGGCAAATAATTAGCTTAATTCACTTATGAAAACTCGGAAGGTATTGGATGCTTCATAGAACCTAAACTTGCCTTTATATTTTCCAGTAAAATTGACATTCACACCCTGAGTTCTTGACCTGTGTAACAGCCAAACTGGAGAGAAAAAAATACTTCATACCTATGGATTTTAATTGGATTTTAAATTCTTGGGGTTTATCTCTGAATTTGAGGAAATATACTGCAGTATGGTAAATGAATTCCGTGAGCTGTGTACTCGTGTCGATTTGACCTGTGTGTATTTTAGTGCTCATTATACAAGGCTTGAAGTCTTACTGTCAGGAAACTCGGAAAGTCCTGTAAAATATTTATAGAATTATGGAATCTTTTGCAGCAAATTGGGTTGTTTTGCTTATTCTGTAATACGAAAGTATATTGTTAGATTAAACTTTTCAGTAAGTTGACTTGGAATTTTTTGACAGGTGATTTTCTTTCGATAAGTTGATCATTTTCATTTATCCTTTAGACAAGCAGCATTTAAAAGCAAATGGTATTTGGATAATATCTAGACTTGTGACAGCATCTGAGAATCCCTTGATTTGTCTTCAATTTGTTTCTTAAAGGGGTTGTGTTTTATACTACCTTTTTAATAAACAAACTCGTGAACAGAACAAGTCTTTGCTGATTAGTTTTGAGATAATGTATTTGTCTTTTTTTCCCCCCCTCAGTAAAAGATGCTATAGCATTTGGTGCACAGGGACTGCAGTTTATAATCATGTGTTAACATGCTAGAGCTTTCTAGCTGGTTCCAGGAGACATGTGGCTGGAGCTGTAAGTGGGATATGATATTTGTTCCCTCTTTGTGGATTCTCAGCCTTCATCCTGGCTTGGAGTGTTAATGGACCTGCACAGAATCATAGAATCAACCAGGTTGGGAAAGACCTCCAAGACCATCAAGTCTAACCCTACCATGGTTACCAGACCATGGCACTAAGTGCCACATCCAGTCTCACCCTGAAAACCTCCAGGGGTGGTGAATCCACCACCTCCCTGGGCAGCACATTCCAATGTCTGATCACTCTCTCCATAAAAAACTCTTCCCAATATCCAATCTAAACCTCCCCTGGCAGAGCTTGAGTCTGTGCCCTCTTGTCCTCCTGCTGGTTGCCTGGGACAAGAGACCAACCCCCACCTGACTCCAACCTCCTGTCAGGGAGTTGTAGAGGGTGATAAGGTCTCCCCTGAGCCTCCTCTTCTCCAGGCTGAATAACCCCAGCTCCCTCAGCCTCTCCTCCTGGTGTTAAAAGGAGCAGGAGGAGTGACTGCAGACACTAGTTACAACTGATCCTGTGGGATGGTTTATTTATTAAGGACAAGTAGAACTTCTATTTTTGCTCTCAAATATTTATTTTTTATTTAAAAGCTTTGACACTTTGCTTAAAAAGCACTAAAAATCAATTGTTCGATTCTTATACTGAAGAACAGGGATTATAATCCATTTTTCCCAGGAGTACTTTCTAGGAGCTTTAAACTGATGGCATCTCAACAACCTGATGAGTGCTATAACTGCCAACCCAAGAGGAAACTCTTGAATGAGGTCTTGAAAAGCTGTAGCAGAAGGAATCTGCTGCCTGGAACAGTTCAGGAAAGGGACTTGGAGAAGGAGCAATGGAGATGCTGAGGGCTCTTGCCCTGCTGGAGGTCTGGAATCCAGTCTGTCTCCCAATGAGCGTGTGTTTATGCAAAGAGTGTGTCAATAAACTGCTCAGCACCGTCACGGGAGCCTCACAGCAGTAGTTAAGTTGTTCTGGGAGATGGCAGAGGGTGGATCCATAGGCACTTAGCAGAGGGAATTGGCCTGTGCTCTCCTGCTTTCTGGGTGAGTAAACAAACAACTAAATTACTCTATAAAAGACATAATGTCACCAGTTTGGTGACTCTAGTTTCCCAGTGTGGTTTTTTTCCAGCTAAGACTGGCAAGTTTGACCCTGATTCAGCATTTGTGGAATGGCTGCAATTTGGTAGTTTTGGTAAACTTAGTACAAAAAAATCAAACCAAAACCATCTGTTACCTTACAGAACAAGAATATTTTTATCTTGTGAAGGTTTCTGCAGTTATTTAAACAGCCAAGAAAAGTGAGAAAATTGGCTATCCAGTTTATCTGGGCTGGAAACAGATCATCTTCTCCTCGTAGATGTTTGTAGTTTTCAACTTAATACGTGGAATAGGAAAAGTCCTTTATCATCCTGACCAAGTTTGGTTCTCTGCCATCACTTGTTTATCATCTCACTCTAAACTCTTCCAAAGTCCACACTGTCTTCTTCATTATGTACACATTGTCATTTAAAAAAACAACAAAACCCAAACCTACTTACAATCCTATTTTCCTCATTCCTGAAACCTCCTAACCTGGTTGACTTGTTGGAGTGCATTTCATGCATTCTTAGCAGATAGGCTGAAGGAAACGCCTAGATCACGCGCAGCTGGAGGCTAGAAAGCATGTAGGGAGTTCATGAACGTGGCTTGTCTCCTGCTGCAGTCACTGACTGCAGAGCACACACAGCCTGCTGGGCCCTGGCAAGGATTCCAAACTGCTGGACACAACATGACCCTCCTGCATCTGGAAAATCTTACTGGCGTGACACTGCTCCTGACAGTGAGTTAAGGTAGGAGAATTCAGGGATCATTCCAACCCACGTTCACTGACTTTCTCAAATGTTCCCTTGTTTGAAAGATAACTTGACAGAGAATTCCTGCTTGTTAAATTGTGGCTTAAGACTTGGGAAGTGGAGATTGTTTTGATTTGTTTTAAAAGCTAGTTCGAGCTGTGTGGAATAAAGAACAGAGAGTTCCCTGTCTGATGCTCCAGTGATGGGAAATCAATACTGCTAGCAAGGGTGGGGAATGTGAAAAAGATTGTAAAGTATTACCACTTGTGGTGAGCCATCAACACCACATCTCTGAAGCCCATGGTGACCACACATCCTTTTCCACCTGAAGGACAAATAATTTGGACAACTGTACTATTCTGCCATGATTACACCATTCTGAGAGTAGTGCAAGGTGGGCTGAGCCTGTTTCATCCTGAGCTCCACTTCTACTTTGTTTTGGCAACAGTTTGTGGCAGACACAATTTGGAAGGATTTCTGCCTTCCTTTGCAGACTGGAAGATGGAAGAATGACATGTTCAGATGGAAGAATGGGAAGAGCACAGTGCTCTAAATGTAATGTCCCTGTCTCCTGGGATATTAGATTCCTCATGTGCATATGATCACTGAGAGGACTGAGATCTAACCTAGGCTATGGCCAGTCTTATGGCTGCTTCTTGGAAAGCACATGAGATTTTTAAGGGAAATGAGAAAAAAAAAAGACAGATAACTTTAAATCTTTAAAATACATTATTTTTCTAGCATTGTAACTGTTCACAATTCACACAAGCTGCTACACATCAATAAACAGTGCTAAAGGAGCTCAGAAGTAATGTCAGGAGCCACTTAAGCATGTTAATAAAGTGGTGCAAAGACACAATGGCTTGCAGTGAGTGAGGAACAGGAAAAGTGAACCTCTGGGCCAGAGCTAATGCTCACTAAATGCTATGTTGCTGGGTAGTGGTGGAGCAGTGTAGGAAGAGCTGCTTTGCTGCTTGCTGTTGAGACAGCCTGATGTCCTTTCAGGCCATGTGGTCACTGATGTCTTTGCCAAGCTTTCACCATTAGGGTTGGAATTTTCAATGGCAAGTGCTGGCCTCCAGCTGAGCAACCAGAAAGTTCCTTAACCTAAACAGCAGGATGCTTTCTAAAACAAGACTGGGGAAAAAAACTGTCTCTTCCTATGCTTGAAGTTCTTCCAGTTGTTTGGCTGGGCTGTGCTAGTTCCTGCTCCCCTCATGGGGCTTGGGAGGATGCCTGTGGGTTGAAAGGAATGTTTTTTTGGTTTAAGTTTTCTGTGTTTGGGAAAGTTTGGTCAATTTTGAAGTTGTGAAAGATTGTCTTCTGAATCAGAGGACTGTTAGAGTAACCCCTTGCACCAACCTGTGTGTCCCGTTCCCACTGCTGTGGGACCAGAGATTGGAGCTGGGAAAAGGATGCAAGAAGAGCAAAGCAGCAGAAATCCTCAAATAAGGATTTAGGAACTCTTGAATTTGAACATGAGTTGGCAGTTGATGACAGGGGATTACAGCTGGCTGAGCAAGGGATCATGAATGGGGAGAACTGCATGGGGGAGGGAGATAAAGGTAACAAGCAAAACTAGACAGAGAAGCAAGTGATAAACAGGACAAGATGTTTGTAGGTGAAGGCTTAAGCATTAAATTGGGGATAGATTGTGGTTGGATAACCTTAATCCTCTATTTCTTAATATCTGGATAGCTGGCTTTGCAGCCTGAGCAGTCTTTCCATGTGTAAGAAATACTGAGACCATTTGAAGGCTGTGTCTGCAGGCACTTCAGAGTGTCCTCTGAGACACACAGGAGTGCCATGTTTATTGGGAAGCTTCTGAGGAGTGAGGGGGTTTATGACTAGAAAAAGAAATCAGATAAATGCATGGGAATAAGTTAAGCAACACTGTGTATTGCAGGGTTAGTTGGATGGAAACATAAATCTAATGATTCATTAGGTTGTGTGTGGTACAAGTGGCTATGGGCCAAGGGTTTGCCTGGACTCTGAGAAAGAACAGCCTTCCTTTTGCTACCAAGGTAAATCAATTATGCTATGCAGTGTCATGAGCTGACAGTGAGACTGGAGCACTGAATAGAAGCAGCAGGCACTTCTCACTGCACTCGGAGCATTGCTAAATATGATTTTGATTACAGCAGGACGTGTGAGCTCTGGTTGGGGAACTTGCTCCCCTGCGGCCAGAAACTCTACAAATGCATGAAAAAGATGCTTCTCCAGGGCAAGCCGTGACATTCCTTGTCCTACTCTTACCATATCTGGCAGCAGAGATCTTTATGGAGAACAAAAAGGAGTCTTATAGCCTTCTGCTGACTTCCTGCAAACTATTTTAGTGTAGTTCCTGCCTTAAATCCATAACTTCGGGTCAACCTACAGTGTGTGTTTGAGCAGTCTTGCTACCAAAGTTTTAAGCAACTGGCAGACCCACCATGTTCCTAGGTGAGTTGTTTCAAACAAAAAAAAAAAAGGTTATTTGTTTGGGTTTGGATTTGTTTGGGTTTGTTTTTACTTGAATTTGCCATTAGTTGAATTTCCATTATTTTAATCTGAATGTCTTTTTTTAACAGGTGAATCAATTAGTTACCCTTAGAAGTCTTTTTATTGTGGAGCTCTGTACTGACAGTGATCAAGGTACATCAAATTTTACCTTAAATTATTATTTTCAGCTCTAACGAGTGGTGAGGGGTTGATTTTTTTTTTTTTTTGTTTGGTTTGTTGATGTTGTTGTTTTGGTTTTTTTTCTCTTTGTCAGTATGTTTTTTGGAACAATACAAAAACCAAAATTGGTCAAAGCACTTTGATAAGTTCACCCTGAACTTCATCCAGGGCTAGTGCCACCTCTGAATTATTTTTCTCAGTGCTTCAGTTCTTCCAGCACATTTCCATCCTCAGGGCACATTTGCACAGTAATAGGTCCTAAGCCCAGGCTTACAAAGGCAGGGTGAGAAATGACAGCTGGTGGATGGATGTGCCCATTTCCTTCTCCAATGGAGCTGATGCTGTGGCATTGAGGAGTAACTTGTACAAGGTTGGTATTCATCAGGCCCTCTGCCTCTCTGAGCCATTCACTTCTTTCAAGGTGCAGTATCCCTTGCTAGGGTTGAATGTTGCACAGTTATATCAAACCTAGAGCTCACCAGCAAAAGATGTTGCACTGAGTGAGCTAAAGACTAATTGGACTCAATTTGTCTGTCTGGGGAAATGCACTGCCAGCAGAGTTCTGAAAAATGTAGTGTGCATTTACTGAAGGGTTTCTCCTTTTGTTTCACACTTCAAATATTTCACATTAGAAGTATTTAGTAAGTATTTAAGTATATAATCAGTAAAGAAAAGATGTGTGGAAGAAGCAGAAAACCAGATAAAGAATCTAATCCTACTAGTAACTTCTAGTTCTTCTGGCCCTCCATTTTCAGGAGGAAGATGGGCTCACCACTGACTGGGCACTTCAAGTTGAATATTATCTTTGAGCAGTCTTGTTTTTTTTTGTCAGGAGCTGTTGTTTATTGACAATGGAAGAAACAAGGAAGCTCTCTCCAAAGCCATGTAAAAGCAAAGAACCTGTGAAAACAGAATGGGGATCTCAGAGTGTTGTGTTTACCTATTTCCAAGGGGACATTAACAGTGTGGTAGATGAACATTTTTCTAGAGCTCTAAGCAATGCCAAGAACCCCCAAGACCTGAGCACAAAGCACAAGAGTGAGACTGTTGTCCTGAAGAATGGTGAGCTGCTTTCCATGTGTGAGTGTGCTGTTGAGTGGGGGTGATTGGCTTTCACTGAGGAATTTAAGATGCAGTGAGCTTAAATTTGGAACTGTGTGCAAACAGAAAGCCAGAAAAATCATACTCACAAAGCCCTGGGTTATGTAGCTGGGACCTCCTGGGTAAATCCCCGTGCTAGGTGGGGTGATACCCACGTTGCTCATGGGCCTGTTAGCAGGACTAGGTCCTCATTTTCCAGCCAAGTGTGCCCATCACTGTCAGATGCACTAAGTGGATTCTGCCTTGTCATCTTTGCAAAAGTATGTATGTTTTAAGCTTACAGTTTTTAAAAGCTTGTCTATGCTAGTTGCATGTAAGAAAACACATGTAATACTGAAACATTGGTGGTGGTGGTGGTTTAATCTGCTTTTAGTATGAACTTGTGGTTGATTTTTAAGAGAAGCAGCACTAAAGTGAATATATAGTTCTGTAAAAATCAATATTCAATCTGGTAGGGTTCCCCTAGAATTCCATTGAAATTTGCCTTGGGGAAAAGTAAGGATTGATGAGACTTCAGATGCTTTCTCTCTCTTTTCAAGTCGATAGCATGTCTCCCCATCAGTGGAATTTCTCATCGCATTGCTACAAACCATATCCATCATCTGGTCTGAATTTTCCTGCTGCTGGTGTGGCAGGCCAGTACCAGGCACCAGCTCTGCGGAGTCACCCAGCTCAGCCTGCAGATCTGTGGCCCTTCCCTTCAGCTGGGACTCCCAGTCTCGCCAGTTCGGTGTATCATCACGGCTTGTCTGAGCTGCACGCGGCGGATGAACCGATCTCTGACAGGAAATACGGTTCTCTTCTTGGTCTTCTGCAACAGGAAAGGTGCCTAACATCCATGCAAGAATGTACCATGAAGCAACACTCAAGTCCTGCTTGTATGACTGGACCTGCTAGGTTACAAAATATGAGTCAAAGTTCAGCTCCTGGGGGAGGTAAGAAAATACTTACTATCACTTTATTCTTTGATGGCATCTGATGTAAAGTGACAAAATAATATAGTCTGTCTTCTGTATTCCTGAGCTTCCCAAGCAAGAGCTAACTTCAGTCAAACTCACAGAAATATTACTCCATAGATAACCCTGATGTGTACTGTGGTACTTGGGATGGATTGGCCATGTAGTATGGCTGAATCAGTAATACACATTGCCTACTCACACAATATTTTACCTTCAGGCTTAGATCTGGGAGATATTTTAGGTGAATATAAACATTATTCACAGTGCTATTAGGATCTCTACCCCATAGGTAGCAGGTATGATGTGTACCAGAGGGTCATCTACTGTGACCAGAAAGGGGTGCCAGGAAGGATCCCAGAGCAGCCTGTCTCACTGTGTAGGGTGTTAATGATCTTCTGCTGGGAAACTTCAGCCCTTACCAGCATGGTCAGAGGGTTTTCTCCCTCAGTCTCTGTAGCTGGAAGGATGAGGGCACAGGGGCTGCCAGGCCAGCAGCATCTGCTGGCTAATTGCTGCCCTGCCTGTCAAAGGCTGTTGTTTGCTCCCTGCAGATATCCAAGAGCTAATGCAATTCACACAGAAGTGATGACTGTTGTTTATTTATTATCAACAATTAGTAGGAATCCCAGCCTAGGTACTACACTGTGGAAAGATGCTGACGACTGAAGTCCATTTCCCAGGAGTTCACATCCCCACAGTTCTAGGTGTGCTGGAGAAAGCTGCTCCCTTGTGAGTAATTCCTGCTCTTGAAGCTCTCTGGGGTCAAGCTTCCTGGCCAGAGCCTTGGTGCCCTGCTGGGATAGGCCTGCATTGCTGTGTCTGGGCGTTCCCCAGCCAGACAGCTTGACACTGGTCTCCAAGAAAAAGGGTTGTGAAATTGTTTAGGGAGTCTGCTGGAAAAATACAGCGTGTCCTACCTGGTGCTTCTAGATGGAAAGTGATTCTGCCCCTGTACTCAGTGCTGGTGAGGCCACACCTTGAATCCTGTGCTCAGTTCTGGGCCCCTCAGCTCAGGAAGGATATTGAGGTGCTGGAGCAGGTCCAGAGAAGAGCAACGAGGCTGGGGAAGGGACTGGAGCACAAGTGCCATGAGGAGAGGCTGAGGGAGCTGGGGGTGTTCAGCCTGGAGAAGAGGAGGCTCAGGGGAGATCTTATCACCCTCTGCAACTC